TGTTAAGAAGAAGAAGGAGTCTCTAATAAGAGTCGAGATTGTGATAGGAAGGTCATGATTGAAAGCCTAACGTGAGATAGAGTACGAGTGCAAGATCAAGCACCGCCTGCAGTTAAGAAGTCCAAGAGTCAGATACTCGTTCGAAGAAACATAGAGGTTACAGTTATTACCTAGGATGAAGAGATAACATATGGATTCATTATACAAGCCCTGTTTTATTGATGATTCTGGGACGTAATCATCCTAAGGGGGAGATAATTGTAACACCCGCATATTCGGGCTAGCCAATTTAGAGACAATGAGCGTCAAAAATGACCTTTTGATGGAAGATTATTTAGAAGGAGTGATCTTAACCAAGTTATAGTATATGTCACAAGGGTTCCGTACATATAAAGAACGCCGAAATCCGAGTTATAACGAAGAAGTTATGACCCGTCGAAGTTTTACGACAAAACCGACACGACACCGGGAATCGTAAGAAGTGAATTTACGATAAAATACTTTCTATCCTTAGCGATCTAAACGAAAGTCGTAGTATATGTTAAACTGAGAGTGTGCATAAAAAGAACGTCCAAATCTGACTTCGTATGAGGAAGTTATGATTTTTCTAAGATTTAGCATAACAGTACACAACCCGAAATTCAAATTTTAGATCGGTCGATTTTTAACCAAAAAAATTCTAAACAAGAAATGAAGATATCGTTAATAGGAGTTCAACGATAAAAAGACAGTCGAAAACGGATCTCGTATGCGAAAGATATGGACGAAACTTAGTCCCTACTCTTCGAACGCGACGAATTCGATACAGTTTTGTAAATCTGAGATAAAGTGAGAATTAGCAACCGGGATCTAAATGAAATTTGTAATACTCGTAAATACCAACACGTGGATATAAAGAACGTCGATAATAGAGCTCGTATGCGAAAGATATGGACGAAACTTAGTCCCTACTCTTTGAGCGCGATAAATTCGATACAGTTTTGCAAATCGGAGATAGAATGAGAACTAGCCGAAGAGGTCTAAATGAAAGTTGTAGTACTCGTAAATAACAACGTGTGGATAAAAAGAACGTAGAAAACGGAGCTCGTACGCGGAAGATATGGACGAAACTTAGGGTCTACTCTACGAGAAAACCCCTATAAATAAGAGATGAACTCTTCATATTTTCTTCACACCATAAACCTTTCTTTCTCTCTCTAACTTCTCTCTAGACTCCCTAAACCCCCCTAAAGCCTAGGAAACTTCCCTAGCGCCAGAAGAAAGCCCCCGGAGCACACGAAGGCTCCGAGAAAAAGAGCTTTTCGGCTCAGAAGCTCTGCTCCAGCGGAGCCCGGTTTTTAATAAAACTCGCTATTAGTGAAATAAGTCTACCATACTTTAAATATAGCTTATATTTAAATATAATATCGTTATTATGAACCTAGAAATAAGATTTATCAGTGATTCAAAGTCGTTATACTGATTGATCTACTTACGGGAATGATGTCTAGGCTGTGATTTAGTGAGGTGTTTAAAGTGGGATTTCCAAACAGTATACTTCGTATACCAAAACGGACCCTACCTCCGATATGATCTTACCTAGTTGTTCCTTACTTGATAGATCATGAAAGTAGACTTTGAGTTAATGATGAATCTAGACTAATAATTAGTCGCAATAAAGATTAGACTAAAACTTAGCGATAATAATGCTAGGTTTCGTTGAAGGAAAATAGAATCGTTAAAAGCGAAGTGCTGCCCGAGTTTGGAGTCATCACTTTAACAAGTGAGCGCATAGTTACTTTCATCTTACACATATATATGAAGTATTTTATATAAATTGCGTGCTATGTGTGTATACTGTCTGAATACTTGCTGTCTATGCTGGATGAAACGTTTTATACATGTTTTAAATTATCTAAACTGTATATGTATTTTATATGTACAAAATGTGTTGGGTAATACATGGGTAGATTAGAGGTGAGATAAATGACGAGTGATGATAGATGAGATAAATGATGAGCGATGAAAGATGAGATGAATGATAAGCGATGATATATGAGTGATAAAATATGGTGCGAAGCGATGACCTAAGCGATAAGCCAAAACGATGAGCCAAAACGATGAGCCAAACGATGACCCAAGCGATGGCCCCGTCATCTAGCAGAGTATGGATGACAACCACAAACTATTCTAGACAGTCTAGTGGAACACTAGCAGGCTCGCAACCTGTAGGTGTTGTGAACGATGTGTTCACCCGGTGTACTCTAAAAACCCATTGACAGGTATTACGAGTGGACTCTCGAAAACGATACTGTCAATAAACGATATAAACCCTGGCGACTATGCAGACTTAGTGTCGATTTCTTAGGATACTCCTTAGGAATGAATGAACGAGGAATAGCTGAATCTTAGGGTAGATCCTTAAGATTAAAGAAGATAATGAGGATGGGTAATTGGGTTGATTGTTTGATGTTTAACATAATAATTATATTATTGTGGGTTGAAAACCCTATGTACTCACCAGGTTTCCCAACCTGAACCACTCAAGCTTATTTGTATCACAGGCGTCGATATGAAGTTACTTTACACTGAGGGATTTAAAAGAGATGTAGATCACTAGTGTAAATGAATGTTAGTTCTGTTTATGCTTATGTTTCTATATTGACGATGACATCCCAAATGTTTTAAAATGGATAAAAATACATTTCTTCGGAAATGCTTTGATAACGTATTTATCATGTTTTTCTGGGAACAAATTCCGCAACATTTTTATTAAAAGAGGTACTCTGATTTTTAAAAGCATAAACAAAATCGGTCTTTTCTGGATTGGGATGTCACAATTGTAATCTCACTTCGTGAGGAGGATTCTTCTAGAAGATAACTACACGGAATGTAGTTTCCTTACCAGACACGAACTGATCTAAGCTCACGACGTGCGACCTTAATTCTCACGACGTGAGGTACGATTTTATGGAAACTATAGACACTCCTTCCATAATCAATTTCGGAGGTTGGATCTGATTTTCTGGAGATATAGTCGGATTTAGAGGTCAGAGATGTGCGAAAAACAACCCTTTGGAAGAGAGAACGCTTGGAGATTGAATATTTGAAGATTACACATCACATTCGGTTTGTATTAGATTAACTATGTCGAAATCTTATGTTTTTGTGTGCTTATTTTCTGCTATGAGTAGCTAATCATCAGACTTTCGTTTAGTGTAGATGAACCCTAATATTATGTGCTAGTTTCTTATATTTGGAATTTATGAAGTTGGTTAATGCATGTGTTTGATTATCATTACCTAGCATGTTAAAGTTTGCATCCGTGTTGCTTTGATTCAAGTTAAGTGTAGTTTTAATGACCATTTGAATTGCATGAACTTGTTTACCTAGTAGTTTATGATCATTAAATTGTTAGAGGTAGGATTAATCACATCTTAGATTAAGTAATAAAGGTAAGAACTTTAACTATGTTGGAGAACATTAATTTAATCATAAGTATGTTTGGTAATTTGTCTTGATCATAGATGATTATCTAGATATATCTTATATATCCTAATTATCATTAATAATCAATTTTGTATTTGTTTGTGTATGATCATTATATAGTAGTTCATGAATTGGTGAAAGAAAGCATGTAAGTATTACATAGTAGTTCATTCTATGATATCAATTTTGTGATATAAATAGAAACTCCTTTGTCAAATGAACACGCTTTAATGATTTCAGTGGCCCTACCTTCTACTTTCTTTTACAAATTTTTTTTATAAACTATTATATATTATATATTATATATACGTAAACGACTATAAATTAAAACTTATCACAATAAACGTGGCTTGTCTTAAAAAACATTATGGAACTAATCAAGTTTTAAAAAAATGGTCATCATAAAATAATCACATATGAAATAAAATATCATGGCACTTTTTACAAAATTTGAACTCATGAAATAACTCACGCGTTAAAAAGGTATATCATTTTGTAGGATTTATTGTCAAAATGCACTCACGTAATAGTTCATTCACCGTAAGAGACTAAGAGTACTCATGTTTATTCATATAGTTTGTCATTATTAAAGCGGCATATTCTGAAAAAACTGTTTTCATAAAAGTATTGCCATGTTTAAAATTTTATCTTTAATTATGATGTTTTTAATTAATACTTAAAAAGGAGAAAAGATAAGTACACAAAAAATTCTTATAAAATGAAAAGGAGAAAAAAAGGAAAGTGGGCCGTGTTTAAAAGTGATAAAAAAAAAATTAGAAAATGTTATTATAATTTTTAACATTCATTATTATTGGTGGTTTTTAATGAATTATTCACACAAAAAACATTATTTAACAGAAACAATAGTCAATCTCTTGCAAGTTGCAATCTAACCCTCAGTCCCTCACATCGTTTTAAGTTTGATCTCAAACAACGATTACGTATTTTTTTTAATGAACAATTTGCCACACGTTAATATTTTATAGGATGTTACGATTTATTTGGATAAAGTTCGAAACTTTTTTTTTCTCTCTTACAAATAGTGTGAAATATCTACATATTTTCACATTCAATCTCAACTTTTCATTTTTGATCATTTTAATTTTATTTTTAATTTTATTTTTACGACAATCCAACATATCTAAATGTTATTTTGAATCTTGAAGACTCAAGATTCATGCAAACCTTCAATACTATGAAAACTCATAATCCAAATACTATGAATCTTGAAAACTCAAGATTCATCTAAATTTTATTTTTATAGAATCTTAACCGAAGATTCAACGTACTAATATCACTGAATATCAAACCTTTAATAAATATTGAAAGGCAACCAAAAGGCAATAAATAAGAAGCTAGTCTTACGTTTTATTGGATCAATGGATTAAAAAATTTGACCCGTTGAGACGAAAAAATAAAATAGATTAGATATATTGTCTATTATTCCAAATGTTATTCAAATTAACTAACATAAAATAATAAGAAAATAGGGAATAGAGTATCTTATATTCAAAATCACACAACTATTACAACCAACATATTTTATCGATCACATATAGATTTCATGATTACAAATGAAGTTTACACTATTTTCCATGTTTTATTAACCGTTGATTTCTTCTAAATCCTAAAGAATTTCGAGGTGTCCATCAAGTTTTTAATATTTAGAAGCTAAAAAAAAACTCCCTTTTTTCCAAAAGCCCACATTTACATGGATGTCTCATATCAAGATTTGTAATTGTAAGACTTTGCTAGAGAAAAACACACGTCCTTTTGCCTCTTGTATTCATTATATCTCTTAAAGAAATAACCAAGATAATCAAATTCAATCGGTGACATTTTCGCCTGTCAAATAATATATCAACCCATTTTTTAACACAAACCCATAATAATAACTTACTTACATTTTTTTATCCATAAATAGTAATGTACATATTTATGTGTAAATAAACATGTTATGGAATATGGATTAGGGAAAGTAAGAAGGGTTTGAGTACTACCTGGATCAAAGCCCATAAAGCCCAATACAAGTGAGAAGCCAACATATAAAGGCTAGTTTCCACATAGAGTGTTTCCACATCATTATCCGAAACCTAAATTTATATTTAAATGTTATTATTGATTTCTTTATTATAGCATTGTAGTTTGAAAATTTGTACCTCATTTGGTTTTTCAGGGTTTAAGTAGTGTTTGAAAAAATGATATTGTTCATCCTTATTTGGGTACCTACATTACATAATTAGTTAATCACCACATAAAAATATTGGTTTAATTAGTTGCTATTTATTGATTTAAAACAAGGAAGATGTTGTACAAGGTGTAGTCACATTCGTATCCAGCATATTCATTGAAGTGATTTCCAATGTCAAAGCCTCTATAACTATAAGATCCATATTCAAAATCAATGAAGTATAGTTTCTCTGTTCCAATTTAAAAAAAAAAAAGATGATTAGAAAACTATATTATGAAAATAATAATATAATTTTAAGATACCTTCATTATCATTATACATAAGATTCCCAGAAAGCAAATCGTTATGAGCAAACACCACGGGGGATTTAAGATGACCTGTCAATTCCTGTCTCATAATCACCAAACATTTCTAAAAAAATACTTTTAAATTTTCAAAACTGATGTTTAACATACAGATTTTTTTTTTTTTTTTTTTTTTTTTTTTTTTTTTTTTTTTTATAACTTTATGTGATTATTAGTTATAAAAGAAGCTACCTTGAGTTCAAGAATCTCGGCTTCAACTTCTTTAAATGAAATTTGTGCGTATTTTTTCTGCTTTTCACAATCATCGAAAGTAAGCTTGGATGCTGTAATTAAAAAAAAAAAATCAGCAATTTATAGATAGTGTAATGAGGAAAAGAGATATATATATATATATATATATATATATATATATATATATATATATATATATATATATATATATATATATATATATTAAAATACCTTTTTTATAAAATTTTAAAATGTCATTCCACAGCTGGGGTTCCTTGGATCCTGGAACTTTTACTTGATGGAAACTATTAAGTTGTTTTGCAATTTCACCTGCCAACTTTGGATTTCTCATATCTGTAAAATACATAGCATTGTACTTTAAAAAAAAATTATATTTTGAAAATTTAAACCAATTATAGCATTATTAAAACATTATAATTTGTTTCTTACCTTTTGTTTCTAGAGTACGAGCATGTATAAAGGATTGCACCATTCCATTTTCAAATACTCCTAATAATTTGGGACCAAATCCAGCAGCTGAGAGGTGATGAAGAGCCTATTCATATGTGAATGTATGTAAGAGATTTGAAAAAAAATAATATATTGCATTTTAATTTTATGTCTGAAAAGTCAGATGCTAATTAGTAATTAGTAATTACTAACCTGTAGTTCTCTTTCACGATCGATAACGTATTCAGTATTTGGACCATATAATCTAACTGTTACATGCACCCAATTCCCATTTTCTTCTTTTACAGATACCTTAAGTACTATAGTAACAAAAATATGATTATGAATGATAGATACATGTGTACAATACATATTTGTTAAGGATACCTACAAAGATTTGTAATGCCACCAGAAACTTTCTCAGTAGAGAAGTGTGATTCATCCAAATTTGACCACTGCTTGAAAAGATCCTTGCAAAGTTCTCTGCCAAAGTCAAATCCAATCACATAATAAGATTAGAGGAGTTAATGCTAAGTTTAAACTGTTATTGGGAAATTGATGTGGTTTTTAAATGATAGAAGAATGTGGATATAAGTAGATTAAATGATTAGTAGATCTACATAAATGGTATTCATAAAATGGGTAACAAAATCCATATGAACAGAGCTAATATAAGTAACAACTGTTTTCTATTGAGGTTCATATGTTTTCCAAAAGTTCTTAACTGGTTAACTAGGTTCCTTTTTCCTTCACAAAAATGTTCTGATTTATCAGTTTACTTGAGTTGAATGTGAAATTGTTTCTCCTAAACATAAAAAATGGGAGGGAACATTAGTGAATTGAGATTTAGTAATTAAATTAATCACTATAATGGAAAAAGAATTAGCAGATATGTTATGTTTTACCAATTTATTTGACCAAAGGGGAATAGGATTATAGGAGTAGTTCATTTCTACATCAAATGTTGGAGAAACATCAGCAAACTAACGTAATACTCTTGTAGAAATAATCAGAAAACGTGTTCTAGTTTATCAATTTAGTTGACAAAAGGGGGCATTGAATGAGTCAATGAGTTTTATATATATTTCGTATCTATTTCATTTTCCACTTCAAGCATTGGGGAAACAAAAGCAAATTAAAGTAATTAATATGATAGAACAAGTTCAGCATCAAGCACTAGCTCCGATCTACAGTTTCTGTAGGAATCAGCCTGACTAATAGATTTTCAGTATTTTCAATTACTAAAACATCAGATTTTCATAACAATCGTTCAGACCTGAAACTAGTTAAATCGTCTCCAAAATTCATGGACGCTTTCGCTAATTACGTACTTACTCTCTATTAACAAAATAACAGAACTGAAATGATTTCTTCCGTTCGTTTCATAGTTAAATTAACCTCAAATCATGTCAAATGCATCAGAATACATGGACGTTTCCGCCAATTAACATCATAAACTCTCTCTTATAAAACATAACAGAAATGGAGTGAATTTATTCATTAAATTCATAATCAAATTAAGCTCAAATCATGTCAAATGCATCACGAGAGCTTACACGAGTTGAGGTTTCATCTCCGGCAAAGGAAGGGTGTGATCGACAGCGAGTGAAGAACGAACCACCTCAATGTCACACCCATTGAGAACTTCATCCGAGACTTCCATGGCGTTCAAGAGGTTCACTGCACCCATGCTTATCACCGTCTTCTCCTCTGCAAATCTCCGATGCTTCTGCGTGTGGTGTGATTTGTGAAGAAATTCAAATGTGGGGTTACATAGATTGCGAAGCATCACACACAGGGAGCTGTTTTTTTATAACATTCCATTGGATAAATTACAATAGTTACCCTTATAATTTAATGTATATTTCATATACACCCTAAAGTTAAATTTAAACTATTTTTAGTCCTCTCAGTATGAATGTCCAAAACCTAGTATTGTTTGAACGCTGATATTTGGAAGCTAGAAGGTGAAACTTTTATTTGTGTAAAAATGTTAAGCAAAAATATTAAAATCATCTACAAGTTATTTGAAGTAGCTTTTAGATAAAAGCTACTTTGTTTATAATCAAAGTTTTATACCATAAACAAGATTTATTCTTTGATTTGGATTTTTCTTAAAAGCTAAAAACTTAGATGTTTGATTTTATCTTAAATAAACACATTATTTTGTTTTTTTATGTAAATAGTTTAATTTTGATGTTTGATTTTGAGCCAACAAATATCATGTGTAACAATGTCAAGCTAAGTGGATCACGTTATTAGTTGGAATACACGACACGTCTAACGATAAATTCTTCACAAATCACATAGAATAGTCATTTATATATGTCAAATATAAGTGAATATGAAAGAATAATATTTTATTTTTATATAAATATATATTCGTTAAAACGAAAATTTGATTTAAATACATTAATATTAATATTTTCTGTATTGTATTTACGCAAGAACTAGTTTAATATATAAATAGAACTATTGTTAATCCAATTTTTTATGCGCTTCATGAATCATAAAAACAATGTGATCATAGTGCTCATCTGAACAAGATATTCTCACAAATAGAATATTTGAAAATATAGATATTTCTATCATTATTAATTCTAGGGTCCAATTTTTATTCTAGATTTCTTTTATTTAATTTGGATTTCAATTCTTTGGATCTTGGTCAACTTTAAATACTAACCACGTTTTTCTCAACCATATTTCACACCACCAATTAAATTATAAAATAAATATGATTCCAACATGTTAACGAATGGACAAGAAGTTATAACCGAAGGAATTTTGCCGACTTTACTAATAAACTTAAAAAAATAAATTGTTATTTATGTTTGAACGAATAAAATACCTAATTTTAGGTTTCTTGATGCTTTTGTCCAGCGGAGCTCGTTTTTCGTTACATCCAGAAAACAACACTTTTAAAGTAGCTGATAAACACAATCAAATGTTGAGCATATGTAGTCGATTAGTCGTGTAGACATCAATTCAATTTAAGTAGTTTCGTCTCACAAGAGAAAAAAGTATGTATTTGTGTATGTGTGGATATTTGTCGATGAAAAAGTTGGGTTTTTACTTTTCTATGTACAAATAATGTATATTGCCAAAGAATCTAAATGGTGAATCTAATAAGATTTAATGTTCAGTTCGACCACCAAAATATTATGTAATGAATACAGGATGTCCTTGATGATTTTTAAAGTAAATTATATATAGAAATAATTTGATGGGGTTGTTGTACTAATAGCCCATTTTTTTTTCTAACTATATCCATATTTGTTATGTGAAATTAAATATTTTTCTATCTTTTGTTCATATCTATATTTTTACTTATATAAATAATAATATGTGGAATCCATTGATTCTCTTTTAATGTTCACTCTTGATTTTGATACTTGCATTGACTTGTTGAGTAGAATATTACTAAGAACAAAATGTAAGATGATATTTGATTTCTCATTTGTCCTTTGTTGTGAAAGATTGTATATTGTCCGTGTGATCAGATCCAAACATATAAACTCAATTAAACACAAAAGCATAGAAACCCTAAGTACAATAGACAAGAACAATCGGCTCTGATACCACTGTTAAGTTATGGGGAATCTAAAAGGTCATGAAGGCGTACAATGGAAGCAACTAAAACATTGTTCCCATAAGCCAACCATAGATCTAAGTTCTATCAATCAATTGCAACTTAAATAAACAGAAAGAAACTTAGAATACATACATTTGTATTCATTGAAACCTTCGTAGATCTTGATTGAATAATGAGTGCTAAGAGCCCAACAGAGAGCTCTTCTTCCGTTTTAGCACCCAATGAGCGGATCACCAACATCTGACAACACCCCATGCACGAACACACTGAATGACACAAACCAGAAAGCTGGACCGAACCCTACACGTCACGTACAACCCTTTACATGTCGTGTAGGCAGCTGTGATTTAGCGTTTCGAGAAGTGAGAGGTTGTTCCGAATACTATGGTTTCTCTTGAGAGAATTCATCTTTTATGCACTCACAAATCCGGCCTAGGACCCCTCTAGTTATAGGGAATGATTTAAACCCTAAAAAGGATAAATATCTAGTCAAACGATAATTATCCATATATTTGGTAATTATTTGACTTTCCAATTCCTTCATCTAGAACCTTCTAGATCGCTAGATTTTATTTAATAAACTAAATACTTAATTAATTAACAAATCAGGTCGCTATAATTTTCTTGTGTGATCAGTTGCTTATTCATGTCCCTGCGTGTAACCCAAAAGGACCCCACAATTAATAGTAATATAACTAATTGTTGTGACTGTGGACACCATATTCCAACACAGAGAACCCGCTCTGATACCAGTTATTGGATCTTGGAGATTGAACAACAAGGAATAAAAAAACAATAAAGAGAACAAAGTCTTAATCAGAAACTTATTTCGATTAATAAAACTCTTACAAAGAGAGAATGCATAAAGCCGTTTTTTTACAAAGAACCCTAACACAACTTATATACTAGGATTAACTATCTGATATATAAACACTAAGATTGCGGATCCAATTCTTCATGCACAAGAAATCTTCACGTTGATGTTGGTTGAGTTCTTGACAGTGTATCAAACGTTGCTTGATGATCAACGTGAAGTGGTTTTGACACATCAGATTACAAGGTTCGACCTCACAAATATATACATATACAAAGTTAGTAATTTGTGTTCAACTTGTATGATGTGGAGTATATAGATTTCACTAATTTATGAGAAATTATAACATAATAAAGTTAGAAGATGAGACATTATGTAACACCCGGTCCTTGTAGGTAAATTCCTTTCTCTATTTGTTAAGTGTAAATATCGAGTTTTGATCTATGCAGAGCGTAGATAGCCTTCTACGTGTTGCGTAGAAGGAAACTTAGAGACGGGTCTTTAATGATCTACGCAAGGCGTAGATCTTAAGTACGCAGAGCGTAGGTGGCCAGAGTCCAAACCCTAATTTTGGGGTGTTGAACCCTATTTAAGGACCTTAACCTTCATGAAACCCTTCCATTCTCAGCCTCCATTTCCCCAAACATCTCCCTTGAAACCCTAACCCCATTTTGGTGCATTGTGAGCTTAAAGAGTGTTCTTTGAGTGATTTTGAAGGACGAAGAAGGTGGTAGAGTTGCTTGAAAGCTTGAATCAACTGTGGATTTGGAAGTTCTTCTCCCTCATTCATCTCCAGAAGGTATAAAGTTTGTACCTTTATGCTTCCATTGTTAGATCTAGTTTAGATGTTAAAGTTATGCCATTTTGTCCCATTATTTTGGTTCATTTGAGTATGAACGACCCTAGACATTTTGGAGTGCATTTCCAGAAGTATTTAAGGGTATTAAGTCACAAAAATGGTGTTTTGGCCATATCCAACCATCCATGCATGAGTTTGAGATCCTTAGAAGTTGTTATAAGATTATGGTTTGTTCTTAAGCCTTGATGAGCCATGCACATAAAGTTTGGAACTTTATCACTTAGGACACTTATTTAGACCATATATGAGAGTTGGACGTGATGTCTTTCTGTATTAAGAACTTAATGGAATGTTTGACTTCAACATGAGTTGGCAGCGCATACATATGAGTACGCATCGCATAGCTTTGTGTTGTCCCGTAAAAGCCAAGCAATACTATATGCAAGGCGTAGAGCTAGTACGCATGGCGTACTCGGTCTGTATGTAGACCTTTGACTTTTGACTGTTGACTTTGACTAAGTTTGACTTTAGGTCATTTAGGGTAATTTAAATAGTAAATTGAGAATGGGTCCCTATTTATTGTATAGGTGACATGTAGAGACAGTGTTTGGAGCCGTGATCAGTTCAGCTATCTTTCATATTGTAAGGTGAGTTTTCCTTATTGTACGCGTAAGTCGAAGGCACTAATGTCGGCCCACTAGGTTATGTATCCTGGTATATAGGATGATGATATGTTGGTTATATGTTAGACTGTAGATCTGTATGATTACCTGTATTCACTGGTGATATGTTAGATTGGTAAATTTGTATGAGTACTTGTACTTGTTGGCTATTGGTTATAGTTGTATATGTCGACATGTTATTGTGTTGTGGGGTTGAGGCGATCCCGCTTTATGCTGAAGGCCAAGATACATGGGAAGTCTAGTTGATAATGTAGGCATAATGGAGCAGTCCAACTTATGATGTAGGCTCGAGAGCAGTCCAGCTAGTAGTTGAAGGCTCTGTGGCGGTCCAACCTAGTGTTGTAGGCCTGGTTGCATGCATTGTATTATTTTTTGGCTTGTGTTGTACTTTGGGGGAACTCACTAAGCTTTGGATTACAATTTGATTTTATGGTTTCAGGTACATCAGGGGACATGGGCTAGGTGAAGGTGTGATTGTGCACATCATCCTGGATATTTGTTTGAATAATGATTTTGGGATACTCTGATTTATACTTATGGTTTTGGAAACTATGTTTTGTGTGAATTATGGATTTTATGATGGTTTAAAAAAATGAAAATTTTGTCATGATTTTTGGGATGTTACAAGTTGGTATTAGAGCCCTGGTTTGAGATAATTGGATTAACACTTGTGTGATTCCAGACTCAAACTAAGGATCTGCAAAATGTTTTTCAAAATTTCACCATGAGAGAACCGACAAAAAGGATGTGATGTGTACAATCATCCGGAGCCAAGGAAAGTGATTCCCAAGATACCCACACTTGTTTAGTGTATTGATGATATGATAGAATTTCATGCTAGTTTGTAGGCTAGAGATCTTCAAGAATTGCATGATAGAATTGTCTGATTTATGATGCCTAG